AAAGTCACATAGGGACTTTCATACAGGTCCTATACCTTGCAGGGACGTGGTGGCGCTGAGGGTTAAACCGCAGAAGCCTCTGTGCTGCAAGGTCGGAACACCAGCAGTCGTAAGATCGAATCCACGCAACGGAGTGAGCTCCCATCGCTTGTCCCAGCTCCTGCCAACCTAGCAATTCAAAAGCATGTAAAAATGCAAATAGATACATAGGTACCACCATGGTGGGAAGGTAACAGTGTTCCATGTCTAGTCGCGCTGGCCACGTAACCATGGAAACTGTCTTTCAGCAAACGCTGGCTCCATGGCTTGGAAACGGAGATGAGGACCGCCCCTAGAGTCAGATACGACTGCACAAATTGTCAAGGGGAACCTTTACCTTTACCTATAGGGCCATTAATAATGATGGAATAATCTTCGCCACACAGGTAGATGATCAACCATGCTAAGCTGTCTAATGCAAGAACAATAGGAAAGTAAGAATCTTAGAAAATGTCCTGCAGAATACACTTGTGCACACTACCTTCACCATAATTATCTGGATACTTCATTACAGGTAGCAGCCTTCATCATAACCATCAACTGTGTGTTCTGGATAGGTAGTAACAGATAGCTTTGTGAACAAATTCTAAAGATATTCTATTCCTCAAAACATTGCTTTTTCCATCCATCCATTCATCCAAATTTTTTCTTGGAAAAATGATGAAGGAATGTTGGTGCTGGCAGAAATCTTCTCACAAAAACATTTGAAAACTAAAATGTTGTTTCTGTACTATTTCTTTTTTATATGCACATATTATGGTACTGAGTGGACAATGGCAAAGGAGTGGTAGCCATTCCTTTAGTACACTGGTTCTTAACCTTGGGTTACTCAGGAGTTTTGGACTGCAACTCCCAGAAGCCTTCACCACCAACTGTGCTGGCTGGGGTTTCTGGGAGTTGCAGTTCAAAAACATCCGAGTAACAAAGGTTAAGAACCTAGGCTTTAGTAGACCAGACATCACTAAAACAGTTACCTAGGTATCACCAGTGGCCACTGAAGTGACAGCTGGTTGATGAAAAAGCAGGCCAATGTTCTCTCTCCCACTAATCTGTGTGGTGTTCACATGTAAGTTTGAGTTCTTACACAGCTGCATAAAATGATGCCTCCAGTCTCAAGGAAGGGTTTCAAAAATGCTTTTAAAAATTAACATGTAACCTGAGCCAAATCTATTTGAGAGATTATTCACTATCATTAAAACATTCTTCTGCAAAAAAGAAAGGCAACTGAAGAAAGAAAGAAACCTAAAAGGTGACGTTTTAATGCAATAATGTTTAGTGTGTGTCAAAATCTTTCAAAGGATGATGATTTGAGACTGGCAAAACACATATCTGTTTTGAATCAGTGTGCTTTGTGTCAGACACAAATGGACAGATAATTTTCACCTGGCAGAACCCATATACTTTCTGCCCTAGTAAATAAGAGCCGAAGTGAATTGGTAGGTTTATTTTGAGACACGACACAAATGGACAGATAATTTTCAACCCATATACTTTCTGCCCTAGTAAATAAGAGCCGAAGTGAATTGGTAGGTTTATTTTGCTGTATCAGTTTAGATAGGATCAGTTTTTGCTAGAGTTTATTCCCAGCAGAAATTTTTCCCTTTGTACTTGTCTACATTATTCTCAATGTATTTCGTCATCTATGGTCAGCTAAAATGGTGCAACAATTTGCTGCTCCCAAAAACAACTTCAGCAAAGGTTTATTTGTGCCTCTGTTAAAAAAACAGTTTTCAGGCATTAAAAATGATTCCAGAACTGTTTTTAAGATATGAAAAATAAACCACACAGTAGATTAACTGGAATTTATCGTATCAGTAATATAGGTGGTATTTCCTCCCAGGCAGAGATCTATTTCAATATGCTGTACTCATCTCTGGTTTACAACTATGCACCAAGAATAGTTTGGAGCCTCTCAAGGTTGATTTGACTAAAAACAGGCTTATAGAGAGAGTATGTAGTGGAAGTTCTATTCGTTATTTCAAAACTTAGTTTCAAAAACTTCGCAGTTACAGGATAGCACAGAACAGGTATACAGGTTTAGTTTCAAAGTTCAATACACAGACCGCTATGCGGGGCACCACTGTATATAGGTTTAGTTTCAAAGTTCAATACACAGATTGGTTGAAATCTTGTTGCTTAATGTAGCAAGACCCATTAAAATAGGCCCACAGAATCAGTGGGAATTTGGGGAGTCGAGTCTGTGAGTATCGCCCACTGAATCAGTGGGAATTTGGGGAGTCGACTCTGTGAGTATCACTGAGGCAATGGGCCTATTCTAGTTGCATCTTACTATGCTAAAGTAACGAATGAGGATTTGATGAGTCAGCTCCTCTGTAAGTTCCACTGATTCAAATGGAACTGATTGGGCCTACTCTAGTGCAGCTTATTACATTAAGCATAAGCATTTCAGTCACTGCCTAGAAGTGTTACGTATAAAGGAGGAGGGTTACTGCTCAAAGCAGTGTGAAAACAGGGTACAGCACTGTAGCATTCTCTATTTATTTGATCTATGGTTCATGTTTGTTATGTAATGGCTTATGAATATTCATGTTGCTGAAAGGCGGAGCTGGGAGAGGTGCTATGAGAGGCGGAGCTGGAGTCAACAAAGAGAGTTCAAGTCAGAGTGTGAGATTAAGTGAGTTCAAGAGAGTGTGTGGAGATTAAGAAAGTTCAAGTCTGTGAGTAGATTAAGGGAGACTGACTCAGTGAGTCAGGGTGTGTAATAGAATGTGTAGTTTGGGAAATTTAGATGTGATTAACTACTGAAGATATTCATGAATCTCTCTAATCAATAAACCAAAGTTTTACTTTAAAGCAACTGAAATGTGGACCTGAATCTTTCTGAAGTAAATGGTGATTCAGGGATCACCTGGTGGCAGTGTGGACCTGAATCTTTCTGAAGTAAATGATTTAGAAATCACCTGGTGGCAACAAGTGTAAAAGGAGAGAGTGTTTGCCTTCGTGTGCTCTGGGGCTTGAAGGTCAAGCAAGGGTGGACGTCACAAGCACAATACCTCAAAACGCCACAGGAAGGGAGCATTGAGGGGCACGAGGGTGGACGCCACAAGCACAATACCTCAAAACAAAACAGGAAGGGAGCATTTTAAGCTGTCCTATTAGGACTCAGACCATCTAGTCCAGTACTGTCAAACCCGCCTGGCAATGAGTCTCCAGGGTTTCAGAGGCAGGATTCTTTCTTGCCCCACTTGGAGATCCCTGGTATGACAAATGGCCTCCATTCCAAGAAGGAAGCAGACCTAACCCTGTTTGCTTCCAAAATTCAACGAGACTGGGTGTGTTCAGGGTGATACAGTGGTAACAACTCGAGCAGTGCTCCTTTCTAGAATACAAAGTACAGTGTCAAGCTGGGGATCTGCCTACCAGGTTTGTTAAGACAGCAAGAATGAATTTCAACCCTCTCCAGCCTTAATTTACGTATGTGTTAAATTTGTAAGATGCAGTTAGGCAGTGACAGCTTTCAACTTAAATAAAAATCTTCTGTACCTCCTAGCTCTAAGAAGGCAGCACTCCAATTGGTAGGACGACTAAAACTGGTGTTCAAAATGGCTTTGCTGAATTTGCACAGTGCTTCAGACCAAAGCCGCTAAGACATAAACTCCCCTGCGGTCCATCACCAAGAGCAATGACTTCCAAGTCCAATCAAATGGCTCTGTGTGTTCACTTTGACTACTTTAAATACTGGCTGCTTTAGTAAACTGAACAAGAACAAATGAAAATGTGAGGTCTGGAGGCAGGGGTGGGGAATGAAAATTGCTGAAGTAAAATAAGGAAACAGAAGAGACCAGTTGGCAAATCACTACAATGGAATACTTCTCATTAAAAAAACGAGAAGAGATAAAAAGGAGGCCCAAAAGCTAAAGGAAAAAACAAACAAACAGAAAGAACCACAGAACATGGCACTAATTTTCTCACCAAACAAGTGTCAGGTTTAGTTACTAAATACACAAATCAAAATTATACTCTGGATCTCACTTCACATACTACACCCAGATCAGCAAGACATCTGCTACAGATGGAAGGCATAAAACCTGATAAATGAACTCCAGAATTAATACAAATTGAGGCGTTTGGGGATTGCAGAGAAAGGAGAGAAACCTGGGATATCAAGCCATAAAGTGAAAAAAGTCCAGAAATGCTCATCATTTCAAGTTTAAACTATTGTTGCACATATGTAACTTAATATTCCTCTGGATGAATTGTACTCTGTATCTGTTTCTTACAAAAGGCTGATGTAATCAAACAAAAAGAAAACTGGCAAGTGCATTATTTTAGTACATTATAAGTAACTTACAACAGCTTGCTATTTTCAAATATAAGTGTGTTTCTAGATATGCAGCATCTATTACATGATCAGAAAATGACAACATGGAACTAGCCACTGAAATTCTAAATAAGCGGGTATCAGGGTTATCATTAATTCCTTTCTTTAAATGAAGATTACAGTCAACTAACAACAGACTTGAATAATCCTTGTCAAAGGCAATTCAACTTTATGAATACAGTATACATATTCCCTCTTGCTTGTAGCAGCATATAAAAGTTTATTTAGCCCCGAGTGAGCTTTTTCAGCTGTATGCATGAACCTGCACATATGTAGCAGGTTAGGATGCTGCCCATTCTGACAACAACCTTGTGTGCTACACTGCAAATGGTTTTCATAAACCAGAATGAAGGATTGATAAAGTGGCTTGAGATAAATTGCAGCATCAGAGCCAACAGAAAAGAAGAAGAAGAAAACAAAAGAGCAAAAACTTTACTGTGTAATTTTAAATAGTTTTACTGTAATTCATCTGTACCTCAAAACCACAGAAGCCACTGGCAATGGTGTGGCTAAAAATATTGTAAATAAATAAATAAATAAATAAAACATTTTCTCAGGGCCCTATATAATGAATAAACACCACCAAAGCAGCTATTGCCAGGACTGGACATCAACATACCTGTAGTTAAAGGAAGATGAATGACAGTTGTTAAGCATGTCAACGTGAACCAGATGGATGACAGAGTTGCTCCTGATAATAACAGGATAAGTATAGGTTTCAGCATCGCTCTGATAAAATCAGCAAATCTGGAAGACACATACATCACATTTACCAAAAAAAATAAATAAATCACATTTTATAAACAATAGTACAAATAAAGAGATGTTATGTTCAGCCAAATTCCTAAAACGGAATAATTCAAAACACTTGATTTTTAATGTGTATTTGACATTTAAAGGAAGGGGGAAAGGACAGATGCTAGCACAAATAAAGACCTCTCGTGACAGAAGTGTATCACCAACTTTCTGGGCTGATTGCACTGATTTCTTGAAAAGAGGCTATTTTTGTTTTATATTTTTCATCCCCGTGTCTATGAAAAATAGTCTTAATTATGTGAATCAATTAGGAGTTTAAAATATTATCAAGGTGAAATCAAAACTGTCTGTAGCTCAGTAAGATATTATTTTTACCTAGTTCACACTGTTTTAGTACAGGAAGTGAGGATCTTCCTTGATTTGAAAATTATTTTTCTTACTTTTCTAGACATTTTTAGAATCCAGAAAAGTAATGAAATTACAGTAGTGGGGAAATTATTTCTACTAAACATAGTGAGATGACATGCATAAGAAGGCACAGAAGAGGTTGTATTTCCTGAGAATGCTCGGCAAGTTAAATTTATCTCAGCATTTACTTCTGTCATACTATCGTAGCACCATTGAGAGTGTCCTAACCTATGGCATTCTGGCATGGTTTGGGAATAGCTCTGTAGCGGACAAAAAAGCTCTACAGAGAACCATTAAAACTGCCCAGAATATCATCGGGCTCCAGCTACCAACCCTGGATGACATCTTCACATCCCGCTGCCTGAGGAAGTCACACAGCATCCTGAGAGACTCTTCCCATCCTGCTTATAACTTTTTTGAACTGTTGCCGTCTGGCAGAAGATATAGAACAATTAAGACTCGGACCACACGTTTTCTGAATAGTTTTTATCCCAGAGCTATAATTGCAATTAATAATGAGCTTAAAAACCACCAGTAGTGAATAAGTAGTTGGACTGTGTTACTTGGCCTGCGGTGTAGATGTTTGTATTTTTAGTGGGGACTTTTAGTGGGTGGGGAGTGTTTGGGGAATTTTATGTGTGTGCATGTGTCTGGTCCCTGGGTGTCTGTGAATTTCATTGTATGGGTATACTGTGTATATACTTACAATGACAATCAATCAATCAATCAATCAATCAATCAATCAATCAATCAATCAATAATAAATAAATAAATAATAAAAAAAAAAGAGTTTGGAAGTAACCCTGACCTTTTGGGATTGAACAAACACATTCAACCAGTCTTGTTTGGTTCCTCCTGTAAATGACCTACATACTTTCCATGGTTTATTTACTGTGACATCTGAACTGGGTATTCTAGTGTGTCTCTCCCCAACAAGACAGAATCAGAACCAACAGCAAGTCATGCCTTATTTGGGGAACAACAAGCTCTCTATAGTGACCAAAGCATAGAAGTGGCAGTTCCTGGCACTTCTGAACAAAAGCCTGAAAACAAAAATAAATAGTGGCTGTTTCTCTCCCTTTAACAAAAGCTCCCTGACACTCTCTTTTAGAAAATATGCCCCAGATTTTTTATATAGTGTCAAATAGGCTGTACAAATTTCTTTGATGGTCCAATCAATTTATTGACCTCTGCATTAAAACAGTGGCCAGCCAAAGATTTGGGGAGAATTTTCTTCAGGACATAAAAGCAACATCATTTCCCTATTTTCTTTTTCTCCTCAGCTTCTGGCAATCAGACTTGCTGTAGAATTCCTCTATACACAGACGTTCCTCACTGTCTACTCTAAATCTGCCTTTTACATGTACATCTTCACTTCTGCTGCTGCCCTCTTTCGTGCTCTCTCTCAGTCTCTCTCTCTCTCTCTCTCTCTCTTGGATATCCAATTGTAACAAATATTTCCTGTGGAAAAGAAAAAGCAGGAAATAAAACAACAACATTAAATTACAAAGTTTCTGGATTCTGACTTTGCTACAGTTTAAAAATGAATGAAAAGCTGAGCTCCAAAAGACATCTGAAAAAAATGTGATCATTAGTAAATGCAACAAGAAAAAAACACTCCTTGAAAAAAAAAAGGAAGGTGGGCTGATATTGCTGTGCAGTCTTAAAAAATAGAAACAAAAACCAGTACGTGAATGTCACTGATGTTTTCTTTCACCTCCCCAAGTTTCATTCTACCACTGCTAACAAAAAAGGGACAATACTGTATCTGCCAGCTGCCCAAAATATTCAAAGCTCTTCCATCATAAACTTATCATATAAATTACCACAACCCATGGTCTAGAGGTAGGAAACTGGCAAGACTGAGAACATAAATCTCCTGTGCAGGAAGTCACCACATACTACAGGTAACAAAATAATGAATTTTCAAGGCTCATTTTCCAACTGAGCTTTCCTTTGACAAGCATAATTTTGTACCACAGGCACAAACATTTCTACTGCATGCAGAGATAGTTTGACATCCAAATGATAGCTTCTGCACCATCAAAAGCTAGAAAAAGATTTGAATAGGATGTCCTTTATATATTTTCATTAGCCAGTAAATAATGCTTGCAAGCAGAGTAAAATTATATTGCAATTTAACTACAGTAGCAGAAAGTGAGTTTGGGGGGGGGGGTTGTTTGATTTTTTGAATTACAAACTAGGAGGAAGTAAAGCTTAAGTGCTAAAATGGAAACAAAAGTCTCCCTCATGCCAGGCTGACTGCTTGGCAAGTCACAGGGCTGACTTGAAATACATGAGCTTGTGGCACTTGACAAGAATCATTACCTAATTTTCCTAATTACAACTTTCAGCAGATTATAGTCAGCACAGACATCGATTCAACTCTACAGAGATAACTGCTGAATAGGCCTAAAGGAGGGCACCATCTATCAAGCCTGACAAATCGCTATTCCTTTTGTACACAAAATCCTATGTTGGAGGCTTTATAATTTCTTCAGATGGAGCAAAATATTTGGCAACAAACTGTTAAATCTCTCTCTTAAGCAGAAAGAAATAGACTGAAGGCTGGATGGGAATTCACAAAATATTTGCATCACTGTGGAATCTGAAACCAATTTTAAAGCAGCCATAAAAGACATTAAAAGGCTATTTTGAGGATGAAACTAGGCTACATAGTTAACACATTAATCTCCCACAAAAGGTCAAGATTTACATGATAGGCCTTACTCAGCAGATCTGTATTTCAGTGATCTTAAAGGTAATAAAAATGGCCCTGCAATTTCACAGCACAATATAATTTATGAGCCTGAGAAGAAGTTCTCCAATGCACGGAAGATTCTAGAATGGGAGGGGTGCAACAAAACAGTACAATATACTGCTGTTATAAAATGATACGGAGGCTCCGCATATTTAGTTTTCCAATTCTGTTTTTTAATCCCACTGCAGTACGTGGGTTTATGTTACTTAAGGTTCTGCTCTTTTGACTACAAGCCATCTTCTTGAGCAACTTCCCTCACCGAGTGTTTCATCAGCCACTGCCAATAGATTACAGTACATCTGTATATCAGCCAGAAACATAATACTTTGAAAAATAACATGAAATATTTGTGAAATAATCCATGTCTTTTTCAGATACAGTATGTATGATAGTGACCCTTAGGTGTTTTTCATCTTCACAAGTGTGTGTGTACACACCCACCCACACCTGAAGATGAAAAAATACCATGCACTGTGTACCCTGCCCAGGAATATGTCAGGGCCCATGGCTGGAGAAGTGGTGCATTATTCAGTTTTACAACAGGGGGCACCTTAAGATTATTCCCATATAAAAATCATCACAGTAGTCACCACAGAGAAATCTATTTTGATGTGTGTGCTAATTACTCATTACAGCGGTGCCTCGCTTCACGGTGATAATCCGTTACATTCAAATCGCTATTAAGTGAAATCGTTGTCAAGCGAAAGTAAAAAACCCATTGAAATGCATTGAAAACCGGTCAATGTGTTCCAATGGGCAAAATACCTCATTGTGCAGCGAAGATCCTCCATAGGGCAGCCATTTTCCGATGCCTGTAAAGCGAAGAATCTGTCCTGAACACAGCGGGGAGCCATTTCGCACAGGGGGAGCCATTTTGAAAACCCAATGATCAGCTGTTTTTGATCAGCGTGAAGCGAAAAATCGGTTCCCAAAACAGGGAACTGATCGTCGTCAAGCGGATTTTCCCCATTTAAACATTGTTTTGCGATCGCTATAGCGATTGCAAGAAACTCATCATAAAGCAGATTCATCGTGAAGTGGGGTAATCGTCAAGCGGGGCACCACTGTATTTTATTTAGAATCCCTCTATCTGCAATTCCCAGTGTGGTGTAGTGGACAGAGTGATGGCTCAGGGCTCAGGGCAACAGTGTTCAAATACCCGCTCAGCCATGGAAACTCACTGGGGGAGTGGAACTGGTAAAATCATTCCTTAAATATCCCACTTATCGTGAAAGCCCTAACAGGGTTGCTATTACAGTGGACCCTTGACTTACAGACAGCTTGACTTACAGACTTTTTGAGTTACAGACTTCTCTGGCCGCAAAATTTAGGTTTGACTTGCAGCCTGAGAATTGACTTACAGACCAGAAAAAAACCAAAATGGAACAAAAACGGCCTGTTACGGGATTAATCGGTTTTCAATGCACTGTAGGTCAATGGAGACTTGACTTACAGACTTTTTGACTTGAGAACCGCCTGCCAATACGGATTAAGTTCTCAAGTCAAGACCCCACTGTAGTCAGTTCAAACTTGATAGCACGAAACATACCTTCACACACCTCTATCTACTCTGTAATTCAAGGAACTGGCAATGAGCTCACTATTTGTTTTAGTTTACGAGTTGTGGCAGAATAGACAACAAAGCATCTTTATAAAACTACTCTATACAACTCTTACAGCAGTTAAAACAGCAGCCAAAAGACTAAAGAACCTAAACCAGAAAAGAAAAATAATGTATCATTCCAGCTGCTGGTTATCAAACCTTGGTGCCTAATGTTATTAAAACAGACACCTGCTTTGAGTATTCCATAAGTGTGCCCAAAACAAATGTAACGGTCTGCTTCATATGGAATAAACTAGCCCTTTCATTATTCTGATTGAAATACATAGTTTTAGAGTTTAAAACTAATACTTTTCGCTCCAGTAAGAGCCTCTCGGCAGGCTTTAACTTTACAACATAGTGTGTGGTGCATCCACATCTCACACACTTATGTAATTTGGACATAACATTAAAGGCTGGCTGAATAGGGTAAGGTACACATGAGGACATGTATTCACAGACTCTTTCCTTCCATTTTGCTCTTCTCCTTCTGCAAGGGAGTAAATAAGCCAGGAAGCTGCATTTAATAATTGTTTCCCATTGTGTTCATATCCAGAACTACATATGGTTAGTGTCCTCTTTTAAGACACACAAGTAAATTCATTCATAAGCCAATTTTAAAACTAGCTTACAGTCTTGACTTCTATGGAAAATATTTCTACTCTGGATGTTAACAAAAGTTCTAGTTAAGTGCATCTTCTTGCCTTAATTGTTTTCAGAAAGTAAGGGAAGGAACAGTATGCATGAAATCACTACTTATACCTATTATTATACTAGGATTTGATTGTCTGAAGTGTAAGTGGCCTTTACATATACAGAATCCCCAGAGTCCTGTTGATAATTTACACATGTGTTAAGTCATGACAGGGAACTGCCACTAATTACTAAGCCAACCATCACATTGCAAGGCATGTACCTGATTATCCAACAGCCATGCTATTAAAAATACAGCCAGTACTCCTTTAGTCAGTGGCAATTCCATGTACTAAATTATGCAATTTAACTTACACATGGCTGAACCGTTAACAAGATTCTAACAATTAATTTAGACAGATTTTTAAGTATACAAAATGTTTTACCTTACCTATACATGCAAACAATAAAGTATATGAACTGGAGAACAAATGATATGATTCAAGCACCTTCTGTGTCTGCACTATATCTTTGCTGTCATAGAGTTTATTGTGGCTGAGATCCATCATCTCCCAGCTCACACATCAAATGAAGGGGAATGCCGGTGAAACTCCTACATGTTCTCAAAGCTGCTCATTGCCATTTTTGAACTATGTCCTTAATTTATATCTGAGAATCCAATATATCAAATTTCTCAAAATATTCTGTTGAGGAGTCTATCATGCATGTAATGGAAGAGATGAATGTGAACTGGAAAAATATTGGTAGTTCCTTGATTATTTTATTTAAGTGGCTCTTCCCATCTTTGAATGAAGCAGATAGGAAGCACTTGTCAAAGATAATAATAGGAACAGCACAGTTTGATGACAGAGCAATAGATTTTTCATTGTTCACAGACTTAAAAAAAGAACACCAAGCAGAATACACAAATTATCATCCTAGTGGATGAACACATTGCCACCTCACAAAAAAGCATTTGTTCTTTCACAATTGTCACAGATGACAGGAAACAATCTCAGGAATATATTTTTAGTACCACTAAAATACAATTTTACTAAAGAAAAATAAAAGGAAAGACTCTGATGCATACCTTGCCAGAGCTATGCCAAACACACAGCCTCCTACAATGGACCAGAATCCAATCCAACCTGCATCCACCTGGAAATATTTGAGAGAGGGGGGGAGGGGGTTATTTCAGCTTAGGTAGAAAGTAACCGGGATGATATTCGCTATCTGCAAAAAAAATCAGTAGCACTCAGAAGTTCACTATTCTGTTTTATGGAGCTAGTAACAAAAACCAGTATTTTACAAGTGAGGTGCAAGTAAAACTCCAGCATACAAACATACTCACTTGGCTTATGTGAGCTGGGGTTAATATCAAGTCTAGAACACCAGACCATCCAGAGAAAACACCCAATGGTATCGCATAGGCTAGAGCAATCATCAGAAACCGGGGATTGCTGTGAAGTAAAAGGAAAATTAGGAACAGATTCTCTAATGTAAGGAAATTTACAAGTCTAGATTCTAGTGACTATAAATATTTCCCTTCCTATATGTACATCCTCAAACACAGGCACTACTGTAAACACATTAGTGGGTGGCATGAAATTGAAGTTGGCTGACAGAATTCTGTGTTGTTTAAGTTCTAAATGACTGTTCTCTGGGATTTCTACAAAACAGATATCCAGTAACACTAAGGCAAAAAGGCTGGTTACCCTGTCAGGTCCTATATACCTGGTTCATTACACCGTGGTTCTCGTTGCCATATAGTTACAGTTGACTGAAGGTTTCCATGTTATCTTTCCCACAGAAATTAACAGTGGAGACTGCTCTCTCTCTCTCTCTCCTACCACTTTTGACAACCTCTTTATTATGACTGAGAATTCAGACTGAGGTGATACTGAAGCAGCACAGACATGCTCTTCCTTGCCCCAACGAAACTACAGTACAGTTCTTCCAAAGTGGTTTACATATGAAATGCCCACTTTCCAATATGACAAACTCATAGCTGAAAGGTCAATTTTAAAATGAGAATAAGCCAGTCACGGTAAGCTATAAATCCTTACCCTGCCTTGGGATCCCAGAAACAAATATAGGCACTCAGGACTGGCAGGTGGTTTACTGGAAACCTGGCCAGGGGGAAGGTATATCCATGGATCAGATCCATGCCGCCATCTACTCAAGTCAGATTTCAGCAATGCAAAATACTCTTCATTGTAACCCAGGCTTCTACTTCAGTATCCGAACATGTGGAAGCAAAATTTGCATCATTTTGCCTCTTCAAGATGGGGAAGTAACAGCAGCATGTAAACTAGGCCTCTGACTGAGCTGGCATCCATAAAGATGGCCCGGTTTGCACACGCATGCAGCACCCCAAAACCAGCATGGCCACTGACTAAAATCAAGAAGCAGGACTAAGTGTATAGGTTGGTTTGCTTATTCAGTAAGAGGTATTTAATCCCTGAAGTCACCTCAGTGTACTCTGTCTTTGTAGTACACTGATGTCTGTATTAGCCATTCTACTAGGAGTTAATAAGTGAATATACAATGTTGTGACAGGAATTCAGACTAAATTATATTTTAGCCACTTCCAACCATAAGTCTATGAACAATCAAAGCTGATTCACAGAGGCAGAAACAACAAATAAGATAGTTTGCCATTCTATTTAAGTACTAATAAGATTTTTTTTCTATTTCTTTTTCTGATGCTGCATTTTATAAGCAGTAACCGTGTTTCAGAATTACGGTGATCTGGAAAACATGTTTTTTTCTCCAGACTTTCCTTGTTTTCACCATTAATAGTTGTTTAACAGTTGACAGAGTTTATAATGCCCTTCTATTAAACTGTTGAGTGCTAAAGTGTTAGAAATGAGAAACCATTCAGTTTGTGATAAAGGCAATGCATTTTAACCATGAGTTCAAACAATGTTATTTTCAATTACATTCGCTGCTAGTATTAGACATCCTTTCAGTGTCTTCCGGGAACAAAGGCAGTGAGGAGTTGGTTTCTGCCTCCAGCTCTACTTGCAGTCCTTCTCTGTGGCGTTCTTAACCGAAGAGCCATGGTCACCGAGGTAGCCAGTGGGACAGCGAAGAGCTTCCCCCTCCACCTCCATTCCATTCTGGGGTTACAGCAACAGGGCTACCTATCTACGTTTAAAATGCATCTTTTAACTGAGCAAGCCAATCATATTAAAAAGGAAGGAAGAGAACTGGTTCAAATGGACCTATAAATATATAAAAAAAACTGGACATAACCTAGTCTTAAAAATAGGAATATCTATGCATAAACTTCAAGAAAGGTGTCCTAATGTCTAAATATGAATCCACGTGACGTTGAGGATTCTATGCCACATGTTCAAATACTAAAATGGTGCAATAGGTAGAAGGAGGAATGGTCTAATGCAGTGGTCCCCAAACTTTTCTGAGTTGCGGCCCGGTTGGAGGTCTAGGGTCCATGTGAGAGGGAGTGGGGCACCCCCGCGTTCGTAGGTGGGGGGAGTACACTCGCAGAGGGGAGCGCGCATGCACACTTGTGGAGGGGTGGAACGCGCTTGCGGACATGCCCAAAGGGGCACAGCACGCTTGTCGAGGGGAGGGGCGCACTTGCAGTTGGGAGGGGCACCCATGCATGCGGGTGGCGGGCCGTGCATGCGGGTGGGGAAGCGCTTGCGGGGGGTGGGAGATCTGTCTCCATAGCCCCAGTCCTGCCATGGCCACGGACCAAAGACCAGGGGGTGGGGACCCCTGATCTAGTGGACTATGTATTTCCTGGATTAGCTACTCTGGTGCAAAGCTATTTAAATAGATAGCCTTAAATATTTCTGGCACAACCTCCATTGCAGTATCTTTGCCACTTGAAAGTAGTAAGTCACAGATAACATTGTTGGTTATAAACAGTGTTTTTTTTGGGGGGGGGAGATATAAGGAAGCTACATTTCAATCACTGTGTAATAAGTAGGAACAAAGTTACTTTACTGGTACAATGAGTAATATTTACCAGTTACTTTTGAAGAGCATTTTAAGGCAGTTTAGATACATTTTGGGAAAGAATATAATGCCATGTTCTTATCAGTCTTGAATTTCCCCTCAAAAGTAACAGGCAGTGCAATTAGTAACACAAGTTACTTTTTCATTACTGTAAACAGAAATGACAATGGATTATTTTTCAAGCACTGTAATGAGTAACAAGAAGGGATTTTTAAAAAATAGCTCTCTATGCTCTGTACACCTTCAAGTAATGGTATTTAAATATGGTAGCAGATGGTAACCGAAGCAAAATACTGAAACATCAAACATTACGTCTAAATGTTCTGTTTCAAATTCCTGCTCTAGTTCAGCAACACTGTGAATTATTTTACAACTACTGTACAGTTCAGGGAGAAAAGCTGAAATGTGCCTGAGTTTCAAGAAACCATAGAAATTATACACACAACTCATTTTGAAAGACTTTGGGAGGAGGAAGGATTTGAACAGTGATGACCATCTCTATTAAGAAGCAGATACAAACCCAAGGATCCTTTCAGAATTTTCTGCCTCTTAAAAACAGTCTACCTTCATTGATCTTTTAAGGTGATGATGTGAAAGCTCTAAAATAATCCCCATTCTGTCAAACAGGAGTTGACAGAAAAGCTCCAAAGAAACAACTTCAGTGTAAATGAAGGAAATAAGCTGTTATCTACATAGAAAAGCACAGACACAGTTTAACTGCCTCCCTTCAAAAATGCAGAGGAAGGTGTGTGTGTGTGTGTGTGTGTGTGTGTGTGTGTGTGTGTGTGAGAGAGAGAGAGAGAGAGAGAGAGAGAGAGAGAGAGAGAGAGAGATCTGCATATATATGTATAGCAAGATTATATGGCTGAATTGAGTCTCCATTCTGGCTTATAGAGCCACACACAGACCACTCACTACCCAAAGCTGCAGGCTAAAATACATATTATTGTTCCTACATAAAGATAACCAAATTCACTTCTGATAAATTAATGTTACATCTAACATTATGAACTTTGTTTGTTCTTCACAGCTATAATAATATCAGTCAATGAATATTAGTAGGTACTCTCTCTCTGTGTATATATATATATATATGTACATATACATATACATATACATGTATATATATGTATGTGTGTGTGTGTATGAGAGAGAGAGAGACAGTACTAATATTCATTGACTGATGTCAATGAATATATATTTTATACCCCGCCTATCTGGTCATAGGATTCATATTTTCCACTTGTAGTCCTGTGGATTCTAACTTGTTGGGTATTAAAAAAGCAAATTGTTCTAATTGAAAGACATATGTACTTTTTGTGTTGAAAAAGAGCTAGCACCCTAGGCAGCAGAAACATGGGATATCTGGCATAGCAAATCCAGGGATTCTGAATTGGAAAACAGTTTTAAGGCAGTTTTTCACATTTCCTGGAAGAAGTGAGACAATACTGTACATACAAAACTGGTCTGTCAGCCCTCCTTCTCATGAGTGTGCGCGCACGTGCACGCTAATTTGACTACGTAGCTCTTTCTCTGCATGAAGTTTCTTTTCAGCCATTCTGCACAGTATTCTTTTTGCAAGGATTTTTAATTTTTCATTTAAGGAAGTATAACCAAAAGGAGCTATCCAAGCCAAATCACACTCAAGGGGGCCTGACTGCTTGACCATTTTCAAATTCCAAAATCAATGCAGCTATAGAAAAGAATGTGAAGGTAGTCTATTAACAATCCTCCTTTCTTTCCCCCCACACACATAAAAATGAATTTGAAATATCTCGTGATTTTATGTCATCCTATATGTAATCTAATCTGAAACAAAAGGTGTTATAAATATAGTTTTCACCCTATGTTAGCCTTCTTATTAAGAAGGAAATGTAAGATTTAAGCTATTTTTCTATTTCCCTACTCTTGGCTTAACCTTTTCAAAACTATCAGCCTGTCTACTGAGGTGGCAGAATTTCCAAGTTACTAGCATTAATTTTCCTGTCTAGTGTAAACAAACACGCTACACTGCATCTACAGTACTGTGATTTACAGTAACATTCAGCATTGCAATTGTACTCTGTTGCATTTCCCAAGTCTTTGAAAATAAAACCAAAGAGAGAAATCACTTTTAAAAAAAAATCTAACTGGAAGCAAGGATCTTAGACTGTTACACAAGACCTTTCATTGCAATCATGTTCTGTTTGGAAGTCTCAATGCAGCTCAAGATATTAGAAATGCCAAGGTTTGCTTAAAACACACACAGACAAGGCTCAAAAGGTACTTCCTGTTATTTTTGTATCCACTTCCATCACTTAAAAAAAAAAGCTTAATTGATTTTTGGTTGTTGTGGGTTTTTCGGGCTCTTTGGCCATGTTCTGAAGTTTGTTTTTCCTAACGTTTCACCAGTCTCTGTGGCGG